ACGGGATTAATCAAGTATTATCTATCTAATATATTGAAGGCGATTTATTTTCAACCGAGATTCTGATATTTTAATGCTTGCTGAGAAAATAAGCGTTTGAAGTAAAGTTGTGTTTTTGTTTCGGTTCGTAGTTCACTAGATGAGGAAAATGAGATTTAAGGCAGACGCGCCTTAATACCACACATTAATAACACAGAGCTCGTTAAAAGCACCACTAATGGTCCATTGTAAGATATAAACTTTCTTCGCGGGTGCCCCGGGGAATACGGGGGATTTCCGCGAAGCTCTGTAATAATGTACTTTTGTGGAGCGGCGGAGAGATGCGGTTTCCTGATTTCTCCGGTTATTCCGGGAAATGCAAAATTCCTATCCCGTCCAGACGCCTCTGGCCTGGGTAAAGGAGATGTACTTCAGCGTCGTGGAATTCATGAGAACAGGAACATGTACTAATTTGTTGCGAATATTGGGGACAATGCTGATGCCCCGTTTTTTGCTTTTAGTTTGTGCTTGCCTTTTTTTTTTAAAGACATCCCGATAGATATTACTGGTGGTGATCCAGCGCCTTTCTCCCTCTCCACCCGTTGGTGTTTCTCAGATTTGCGCCCCGAGATCCTCGCGGAGGTGTCCCCGGGGCTGAGCTTGGACAGCAGCGTGTTAAAGGCTCAACTCCCGTGAGGGTACGGCAGGCTGCGGTCAGTGATAAAAGCCCACGCTACGACCAACAAAATTCCCCTTTGATGAGTGCCTAATTGTGAAATGCGAGGTCCCATTTATCCCTCTGTATAGGTTTTTCTTCCGTACCAAAGGCTCTGGTGTAAGAGTATGAATACGATGACAGCTGTTTGAAGAGGTCAGCGCGGGTTATAAATAATACCTGCAGGACAATCGCAAATCGGCCTGACGCCGGCAGTGACTCAAGTCGCACGAAGAAGTTAAACGCGGGGAAACCCAGCAACTTCTTCAAAGAAAAGAAAAGCTCGTGTCTCGCGTCGGAAAATTGGAATCTGGTCACTCAACACTACCTCCCCCTCCCTCCCAAAAAAGGGGGTGTATAAGTAGGCAGTCTCTTAAAGTACCTTATCTAACACCACAGCGAGGGGAAAGCGGGTAACAGCTGTTAACTGCGAGTCGGCTTCGGGTGCGAATTGCTCACCTGTGGATTTGGGAATTTTCTTCGCTGTTAAAGGATATACCTATGGAAATGGACAGAGAAAAGAGCAATCGCGTGGCCGGGATAAATCTCTTTAGACTTTGTTTAGGACTGCTTGTATTCTGTACGGCTACCAGTAAGTTCTCTAAATATCTTTATCTCCGTACGTCATCAACACGTCTATTAATAATCATTATGGCTAGAGAGCATTTCACTTTGCTACGAGCACATCTCCCGTGTTTTTTTTTACATAAAAACAACAGAAATGCAACATTCCCATGCCAGCTGAAAGCGTGTGGGCGTTCTGACATGAGTTTCTTTTATGTGGAGAAGAATAATTTGATTTTGACTCCTACCATAAATACAGTGAGCACTATACTCACAACATTGAACAGGTTTGTCTGTTATAACGGAATGTTATTTCAAAAGGTATATAAACAAAGTTAGAAACCAGCCAGGTTCAGATAATCCATTTTGTTGCATACTGCTTGTGATTCAGCAATTGTGCGTAAATCTGACGGTTTTACTGAAGTTCGGGAAAAGGGCTTACACCGAATTATGGCACAGGTAGACCTTCTTGTTAAATCTGGGATACTGACTGTATCCTGAATTATAGTTGCTTTCTAAAAGACTGAAATTCAAGTAATTTTCTACTGTATTTTTCAATAAACCTTCCCGCAATAGCCATTTATAGGAGACCTGGAGTGTTACGCTCCAAGCAAAAACCTGAATCTATCCGTTCGTTTTAACTGTATATGCGCGTTACAGATTGTAAAGATTTTTTGCAGTTACTAATTTTTGTAACGACGGGCTTTTCATCATTTTATAATCCCCTGCAGAGTCACTAGGGCTTAACCACCGATAAAAGCGCAGGGCATTGGGACATTACGTGGCTGTATCAACGAACAGGGATCGAGCGATTCCCTTGGAAGTGGCCGATTTGCGAGGCGAGACGCTCTCCTTGAGCCGAGCGTGTTCGGTATCTTGATAACAATTCCCCGTTGTTGGCAAGTTAATGTTTCAATGGCAGGCTTGCATTTCGCCTGCTTGGCGTTAGCACCAGGCGCCTAGCCCCCCTGTCCCCCCGGCCTCAGATTTGCAGTCTGTTGAATCTGGGGGAGTGAAGTTGCACAACACTTGCGCGCGGGAGGCGAATCCGATTGTTGTCTATTAATAATTGCATCTACAGCGCGCGCTTTATGCTGTATCTCTTAAGCGCTTTACGCGCTGTGTCGCATAATCCCAGTTTTCAATGATCGGGTTGTGCTCGATTATTCCCATCTGTGGTTTTGTGTAACCTACCTTGGAGAGAAGAAGAAACATGTGGCCCAGTCTTAGCTGTATGCCAAGATAAGCTGTTGCTATGGCGCCTCAGATTTTGTAACTCAAGAAACAGGGAGGCCACATTGCCCGAAAAACAACGCGTTATTCGGAACATTTCAAGCTTAACGTCAAAATTGTTCTTAACGCTGTTTGCATTAATTCAGGCATTTCCATTTGCTCTACACTACCCACGATTTTCTCTAGAGCAATAAAAGCGAAAAACTTTTATTTTATTTTATTTTTTGGTGTCCGTTTCCTGCCTGACCCTCTGAAACGGTGCCTAAATCTGTCAAGCACAAATACCGCAAATTCATCTACCCAGATGAGCGGTTTTCAGTCTTTATCCTGGAATACTTCTGTGTTTCTGGTCTCTGTTCCAAATGGTTAACCGATCTCCAGTCAATTATTAAGACTCTTAGGAAGTGGGACGGGGTTAGGAATGAATTAACACCTGAGCCTGAACGCCATTATCTGTCACCCATTAAAGAGCTGCTCACACAGAAACCAGGCAGCAAGCTCAATAAGAGAGGCCAGGATGGGGTTGTCTTCTCTAAATATCGCAGGCACGCGCCTGCTGCACTTTCGGAGTAGAAACGGGTTCCATCTATCTGTCCGTTTGCCAATTGCTTCATCCAGTTCAGGGTCGCAGGGGAGACGGAGCTGGCCAGCAACGGGCCTTGTGCAGGATACGCCCTGGACAGGACGCCAGTCCATCACAGGACACACACACTCCCACCAGGGCCGACTTCACAGAAGCCCATTAACCCACCAGTATGTGTTCAGACATGCTGTGGGAGGAAGCCAGAGCACCCACTGAATAAGATATGATCACTTTAGTGGCCATGTATTAGGAATTTGTTGCTCTCCATGAGACACACAGACAGGGAGAGGAGCTTGGGGTCAGAGCACAGGGTCAGCCATTTATACAGCACCCCTGGAGCAGCTGGGGTTTAGGGCCTTTGCTCGGGGGCCCAACAGAGTAGGATTCCTCTACCGGCCAAGAGATTCGAACTGGCAACCTTCCAGCCACTGGTGCAGATCCTTAGCCACAGAGCCTCTGTACCGTCCCTATGGTACGTCCCTACGGAATATGGGGAGAACATACAACCGCCACATAGATAGCACCCCAGGAATTGAACCCAGGGCCCCACTACTAATTGCTACCACACTAACAATGCTTAGTGCAGTCCTGGTCCTGTGTTTGCAGGTTTTTCAGGCCTTTTTTAATAATAATAATAATAATAATAATAATAATAATAATAATAATAATAATAATAGTTGAATTGGTCTCATTAAGCCAATAATGAGCTGGTTAAGAGTCAGGTTAGAATGAAAGCCTGGTGGTGTAGCAGCCCTCCAGGACCAGGATTGTACAGTCCTGATCACAGAGCTGAGTGTCCCAGATAGCTGTCCCTTATCTTCACCATCAGACCTGTTTGCAAAGGTGGAAGTAAGATATGTGTTATAATCCTCGAAATCCTGCCAGTGAAAACGCACATTACAAATGCTAACAGTGGATGTAACCTTCTGCAACACTTGATTAAACACAAACAGATGTAGGTGTAACATACACTCTTCTGAACCTGACATGCTTAGTTTTTATTATCTTTGTCAGTTACAATGTATTATTTTGTTGCAGGAGCTGTTCCAGACTGTCCACTTGAGATCAGCCCTCAGAGAGCTGTGGTGAGGTATGGGGACCCAGTGACAGTGAACTGCACTACAACACAGACACCCAGAGGAATGGGCTGGGAGGCTCCAGTTGGAGCTACAGGCATGAAAACAGATGTCCAGTCTGTCACCTGGAGTGTCAGCAGTCTGACTGATTGGACTGCAGAGCCTAAGTGCTACGGAAACTTCCTTACTGAGCCCAAGCAGTGCAGGAAGAATCTCAACATCAGTCTGTACAGTGAGTGACTTTCATTTCCTTTGTATGTTTTTATATGTTTGTATTATTCACTAAGCAGAAAGCCTAAAGCCACCATCTCATTAAGAGTATATTCTAAATGTCAACTGCATATGTTTTAATTATATCTTTAAAAGTTTTTTGGGGGGATTATAGTCTGCAAACATTTCAATTACCAGTCTAAGCAAATAAGCAATTAAGTTCATTTTCACTGGCCCATGTGAGTTCACATACACTTCTGACAAATAGTTAAGGATATTGAACTCTTGTACTCTATTAAGAGGTGACCGCTAGTACTGCTGTCTTGTTGATCTTGTGTCCTGGGTTTTATTCCATCCTTCCATCCTGGATACTTCTGTGTGGAGTTTGCATGGTTTTCCACGTAGCCATGTGTGTTTTCTCTGGGTGCTCCGTTTTCTTCCCACAGTCTGAAGCCAAGATGTCTAACTTAATCGTTGTCTCTAAATTGCTGGCAGTATGTGTACCCCTGCAGTAGACTGGTGTCCAGGGTGTGTTCTGTGCCCACTGCCTGTTAGGATACGTCTCTGGTCACTTTGTACTGGACAAAGCAGTTACTGAAAATGGATGGATGGATTATAACAAGTTTGTAATTATTGTTCACTGGACAAATGTAGAACTATAATATGCTTATATTATCCAATAAAACAAAGCAGCTGAAGTTGTGCTTACTGTCAATGTTCCACTGGATAAATGAACTTGTGAGCACCAGTTACAGCCTGATGCCACACCATGTTCACTAGCCTATCGATGCTCTCTGGAAACAACACATTGCATTGCTCTGGAAGCACAACCTGTAGATGGCTGGTTGGGATCATCCAGCTGTCTAGCCAGTCTAGGTGCTCTGCTGTACTAGGACACAGGGCTTGTCAATCAGTGTGGGGGCTCCCGACTCTCCAGTGATGAGCTGTGATCACACGAGCACAGTAAGAAGGTATACAGTCGTCCAAGGCAAGGAAACGTGGTCTGTGGCCCATACTCTGCTCAGAGGCGTTCATAGTCTTTAACCAGGAGGGAGGGGGGAAAGATTAAGGGAGGTGGCACCACTTGTGAATTCAGGGAATGACTCCTGAATCAATAATATTGACTCTGCTAAACCTAGAATGAGCCAAGATAAGCCATTCAATAAATAAAGTCAATTCCAAAGGAAAATTGAGTTTTCCTGAAGACCCTGTACATAGAGTACAAGCGCATACATTTTTCTTCACAGAGTACCCAGACAGTGTCTCTCTCAGCTCTGACAGCCCAGTGGTCCAGATGGTGGAGGGGAGACAGTACCACCTGCAGTGTGAGGTCCAGAACATCGCTCCCGTTCAGTACCTCACTGTGAACTGGTACAGAGGACAGACACTGATTCACAGTCAGGACTTTTTTACCAACACTACAAGAACACCTGTGAATGTGTCTGCGACCCTCCTGTTCACCCCTGACAGAGCTCACAGTGGACAGCAGCTCACCTGTGAGGCAGAGCTCAACCTGGGACCAGAAGGACCAAAGCCCCCTCCTGCAAATCAGTCTGATCCTCTCAAAATCACAGTGCTGTGTGAGTTTTTTACCACACTAACATGTTTCATTTTGCTGTTAAAATCAACTGTACCTATCGTACATAACCTTTTAAGAAGAGTACACAGGCTAAAAAAACAAGAGCAGGCTGTTTTGGTAGTTAGTAGCTACTTGATCTGAGGATCTCATCCACCTATTTCTTAAATGTAACCAGGATATCATCTTAAACAACATGGCTGGGTAGCTTGTTCCACACTTCCACACCCCTTAAGGTACGGACGTGTCTCCTGTTCCCAATTTTAATGTACTTCACCACAGATTCCATATTTCACTGTTTGGAAAAAATCCGCCAGGTGGATTTTGACCGTACCTTTGAGGTACATGAATACATATATCAGGGTCCCTTCCCTGTTCAAGACTGAAGAGGCTCAGTACCTTCAGCCTGTCAGTGTAGGACAGTCCCTCAAGACCCTGAGTTTATCTGGTTCTTCTCTGGTCTGATCCCATGACCGTAATATTTGTCCTATCTATACATGGAGACCAAATTTGTACAAGTTTATGCAATTTGAATGTGACATGCCTTGGTTTAAATTCTGCAGTTTTAACTATACTGTACATCCCAATATTTTCGTATTTGCGTCTTCACATTTTCTAGGAGATGTAAATGATGTTTCAGTATAAACAGTCTTTTTCATAAGTCTCACTCAGAATTACACATTCTGTATTTCTAGTTAATGTTTTTGCCACCTGCATCCGCACGTACTACTTTCCAGACTTATTTCCTGACCCACAAGAACTACATTTTTCTGTCTAATGATAAGAACTGTGTCAGATTAGGCCATATGCCAGGGATGTGAACATTCAGCTCAAACGTTTTTACTCTATATTCAAGCACTGTTTCCCACTCTGTCTGAGAACATTTTTATTCTGCACATATATTTATTAGACGCGTTATAATTGTTGTTGCCGTTTGTGTTCCGTTTGTTTTTCCAGCTTTTGAAATGCAAACGCCACACATTCACGGCGTGAAATAACTTCACTCCTCCATTGCGCATTCAGTGCCAAACCTCTTCGTTTCATTTTTTTACATCTTAAAACGTCACAAGCTGTTAACATGACAGCCGTCCAGTCTGCAAAGTGTGATGGTAGCCTAGTGCAATAGCGGTTTTGTAACCAGCAGTAGCCAGTTACAGGGAAAAAAAACTTCTTGTATATTTATTATACAAAGCAACTGTCATTGCAAATAGGTCTGGGGATTAAAATGTGTGTGATGTCCATTTCATTTAGGCCCCACAATGCAGAGCATATTTACTAGATTAATCCAAAACT